AAAAAAAAAAAAAAAAAAAAAAAAAAAAAAAAAAAAAAAAAAAAAAAAAAAAAAAAAAAATTTTTTTTTTTTTTTTTTTGATTATATTTCAGGTGTTTTCATAAGCATTAATGACTGATTAAGTTGGCATAAACACGGCAGCACAGTCACCATTATACTTAATCGATCATAATAAAGTCTTGCAATATTGGATCCTATACGGACGAAACCTAAATGTGAGAATTCTCGGCATTATTGAGGTTATTGTATTCGTATAATCGTATAGAATTCCGAGCTGGAAGTTGGTTGGTATGCGTGGGCGCAACACACGGGTTTCCAAATATTTCGTAAAAAACATTTGATTTTTTTTTTTTTTTTTTTTTGTTTTGCTCTGGAAAAATATCTGTGAACTTGTACGCACTGCAAATCTCAAAGTAAAAAATTCGCTCTAGATTATCCTTTTAAGGATAACCTTACCGGATAAAACATGGCACAACGGAAAAATGAGTCGCGCTTTTTACTTTAGTAATAATGTTGTTTTGCTGATGATATGCGAGAACGTAATAGACGTACAGTGCTGTACATGCGGTGTGCACGCATGGCAAAATAATAGGATAATTCTATTTTGAGCACACATCGTATGTCCACTTCGTATATCACACGAGAATCAAATGTAAGGGTGTGCTAACGAATGTTTCTTTGTCCCTGTGAATTTTATTCTTTGAAGATGACAATAAAAATTCCAAGGTTATCTCACCGATATTTATAATTGACATTGAGAACAAATTTAGGAATATATCTAGCAATAGAAAAATCACTAATCACGCTTTTTCCACGGATATCATTGTTTAACACAAATGTGTGATTTTTTTGTGCGAATCAAAGATAAATTTTAGGAATCATGACTCGTGACGTCTTACATGAATGGTCGACCCACATCGGGTTTACATGATTCTATCGCGTGTTGCATAATTATTCTATGCAGGAATCAATGATCGTGGATTTCTTATTCTCAATCTCACATATAGTTCAGTCAACAAGTTACAAGTCGTTCAATTATTCCAAGCCCGGAAGGCAATAAGTATTTATACAACTGTTTAGATATCATCCGGCCAGTTTTCTGTGCGCACTGCATAACTGATGGCCGTTCTTATCATTATATACGAGACTTCATATTTTGTTTAGATATAATATTCGGTTTAATATTGAATCAACTAAAAGAAAAAAGCCAAAATTTATTATAACACGAAAGTCTCCAATACGTATTCGGAGAATAGGTGTACCTGTCTTCATCCTAACGAGAATCATGAAGTTAGCCAATGCAACATATTACTGTAACCAAAATTGGGGTAGCTTAAATATGAAATTAAAGTATTTTCTAGTTCGTGTTCCAACGATGACCAAAAAGTCTTTATACAGAGAAGCATATTCAGTATTCAGTATGTGTAACATTTGATCAGTTGGCCATTCGACTGAACAAGAAAATCAAGTTCTTTACAATGATTAATACTATTAGCCGAAAATAAAAGAAAACACTACTGTACAGTATATCATCACTGACAATGACATAGCGGGATTTCATGATCACGTGATTGTTAAATAAGGAAGATTCGGACATTTTAAGAAAGTTCTTCATCTGCTTGTCTACTTTAAATAATATGGTAACGGTGCGCTATCAAGGTGCCGAATATATTGATAAATAAATGACCAAGTTTAAGAAAAGACTGGTGTAGCGTTCATAATCACCCGTTCACTTGCGAAACAAACGATTGCTTTTTGAGATTGCAATGGGATTTCCAAATGTGCACCTTTTCCAACTTCCTTTTCTTTTTAAAAGATTAGATGACTCTTGTCAAACATCAACTGTCAAATAAAGAAATCTATGTACCCATTCCTAAACTAAATTTTGAATGTATTTATTTATGTTGATTTAATTACAGCGCATTGCGTATTGCTTGTACAAATTACAAAATCGAATCACAGGTAACCTTTGAAATGATATTTAAACATCACAAATAGAATTTTGTTCATAAAGAAGGCGAAGAAAAAAGGATTGTGCTTTTATTTTATTATCTTTGATTCTTTCTTATTTACATGTGAATCTTGACTCTTTTCGTCTCGACAATGAGTCATTCGATTTCTTCGGCCTCACGCACCCATCCATATAATAAAAAGACATCTTTACCCGTAATTAAATCTAACCCCGAATCTCAACTTATTCTGAATGAAGCTAACTTGTCTCATTTCACGACCCTTGACTCGGGCGACTTCCCCAAACCCCACATGATCCTACCTAAAAACCCTACCATCACTACCGAAATGCTTGACGATATCATAAACTCGAAAATATCCAACGAAAAACGTGTCATATATGAATCGAAACTTTTCCTGCCTCTTCATAATCTCATATTCTTCAGCCATAGTCCAAAACGTACTTCGGACTTTCCATGTTATCAAAATAGCTTTGTGATATTTAGAAAAGATTTTCAGGCCAAATTGTCTGTTAATCGACGCAATAGATTCGGTTCGTTTCTTAAGGATGATCCTCTGGATACTGCGAAGAGTGAGAAACGGATTTGGAAAGATATGTCTTCCGAGGACAAACACATGTACGATCAACTTTTACTGTGCAACAATACGCTTCACGACATATTGTGGTCGAACTATCGTTATTGGAAATCAAGAAACGAAAGGTGTGAATACGAATATGCAAAGAACGGATCGATTAAAATATGTTCTCCAACATTTTTTATGCCAGTTTCACGCAATCAAAAAGTCAACAATCCCTCCCTCCATTTCATGATAAGTGACCAGGCCTTGACACCGCGCTCGCATTATATGACACTGGATCCACCCGTGGCATCCAATCATTCTTTGTCGTCGTATGATAAATCAATTAAAGACTCGATTGACAAAAACATGACCTTACCTTAACTTACGTCCGGCGAGTTATCAATATACAGTATTTCTTATTATCACCGTGGGGGGCCGAATGATCTGCCTGAAATCTGATTCTTGTATATTGATTTTTGAGACGAGTGTCGAAGTTAATTTCGAATCACCTTGTTATACAAATCACTAGTCATTGAAATATTATTGATCGATAAAAATGGAATGAATGGTGGTGTGATGCGACGAAACAAATATTACACTTTATTACCGTAACATGCTATACGTCAATATGCTGTTTAAAGAAAAAGAAAAAAAAAGATTTTTTTTTTTTTTTGCTTGTTTTGTTTTGTTTTGTTTTTTTTTTTTTAACATTATAATTACGGATGAATACTTTACTTTGAAAAAATATTAATATGAAATTTTATTTTCCAATAACATAATCGTTACATCTTACTGTATGGATTTTCCGCACCGTACGACACCTTATCAACAAGCCGTATCAACAAAGCGCATTGATTTAATCGAAGATTACGTACAGTACATATAAAGTTTTTTTTTTTTTTTTTTTGTCATATTCCAAAATTCGACCGTTATCTCTATATGGTACTAGTTTGCTAATTATATATGTGCAAAAAGATTTCAAATAAGCAAAACCAAATAACCAAAAATAAATAAATAAATAAGAAATAAATAAGAAATATAAAAGCAGTAAATCAGTAAAGTTACTAAAAATATCAAAGGAATTTTAAAAAACACACAAATCATTTTGTAAACTGATTTTATACCAATTAAATCGAAAAATCCAACTTTTTAAACGCAAATAATTGTTTCATATCTAACCTTTTACTTATCAACCATACTTTTCTACACAAAATACCCATAATGAATTTATATACTGTATATTTAAAAGTTTTATTGAATTTGAATATTTATCTTTTATTATTTGCGCATGCGTAAAGATTTTTTTTTTTTTTTTTTTCAAACATATGTATTCGTATTCGTGAATTTTTGCACTATATTTAATCGTTTTTTAATAAAGTAGAATTATAACTAATAAATAATCAAATTTCGTAAATTTTATTATAATATATGTACATAAAGCTTTTCATTTTATTTTACTATGTAAATTAATTTTAATGAATAAAACATTCAGTACATATCTCCATCTACATTAAAATTCTTTGCAAAATTTAAGTGAAATTATAAAGTCTAACAATTTGTAATTCTCTAATGAATTATTATTAATAAATAAAAAGTATTAAAAATATATTTATAATTTTATATTAATTAAAAAATTCTAAATATTTTAAACTATAAAAAATAAATATCAAAATTTTAATTAAAATTAAATACGTAAAAAAAATTTTTTTTTAATATAAAATATTGCATATAGCTTTTTAAAAAAAGTAATATTTATAGATGGTTGCTTTCAAAAGTTTTAGTTCGCTTACTTTAATTTTACCAATGCTTCTATTTTTAAATATTTTTATATTTTTAATCTAATTTTCTAAAATTATAATTTTAAATATTTTTATATTTTTACTCTAATTTTTTGAAATTTTAATTTTATCAATTTTTAAATCTTAATTATACAATTAAAAATTACAAAATTTATATAAATTATACCTAAATATATGTTCTATTTCTTATATTTTTTAAAAAAATTTTTTATAAATAATTTCAAAAATTTTATTGTTGTTAAATATTTTTATTTATTTTTTTATTAATTATTATAATTTATGATAATAATTAATCAAAATTATTTAAAAATAAGAATTTAATAAAAAAAAATTTTTTTCTTAACAATAATAAAACTTTAAAATTAATATAAAAATTTTTTGAAAAAAATAATAAAATAAAACAAATATTAAGATATAATAAATATAAATTTTATAATTTTTAATTATATAATTGGGAATTTAAAAGAAACTATAGTAAATAAACTTATACTTTTAAAAACAATTGTATATAAAAAAATTTTACATTATAATATTAATATAAATTTTTCAAATTTATTCAATTTCTATTAAAATTTAAGCTTATCAAAATATTTTTAATTATTTTTTCAAAAATATTTATTATATATATATATATATATATTTTTAAAAAAAAAAGAACTCAAATAATTTTATTTTGAAAGACTTGAAATTTCTTTCTGTCAAACAATTTGTCAGATTATATTATTTATAGTATACAGAAAAAAACACCAATAAAATCAGCTACTTTAATTACTTGAAGTTTATACAATTTTCTAAAATACAACATATTTAGATATCACTGTTGTTCATACCCTATAGGAAAGAAAAAAAGTGAAAATATATTTTATCAATAGTATATGAATATATATATGATATTAGAAATGTTAACTAACTAAAATCTTTAAAAAGTAATTAATAAAGACTTGTGTTTAAGAACCTGAATAGTGATATAGAAAAAAAGATATTGAATGTAGTCTATATATATGTATTTCATGGTTTTCTATTATATTAACTATAAATAAATTTAAATAAGAAACTCGTAGTTAAAAAACTGGTTACTATATGATTCATATAGGGAGAAAAAACTTTCATATAAGTCCACGCTGTCTTATGTTTTACTATGAAATATATTTATTATTAATGCACTCAAAGTAAGAGTATTAGTATAATATTTCATATTATTTTATAGTAACTTCCAAAATATTCATATATTAACTTGTTAATTATTTTATTTGATATTATAAACTCCCAAATCAAGAACTAATACCACTCAATTTAACTTTACCTAAGGTTATCTCAGTACTATGTAAAATTCTTTATATTTTTTTAATGAAATTACTCTTCAATTAAATTTCAACTATATATGATAGTAAACTACTCTTACTAAATAAGAAAGGAAATAATCTTTAAAATAATCATTTGTGCAATCAATTTGATAGGTAAGTAGTATAAAAAAACTTTTCTTAGTATTGTTCTAAGTAATTGTTATATCCTTCAAAGATATATCTTTAGAAAAAAAAAGAATTGGAAATCATAGTATATATATAATTATGTAGATCAATTCAATGCAATACATTATATCTTACCATAAACCTCAACTCTTTCCGCTGATCCTCTGACCACACACAAAATAGACGATCGCAAGAAGTTTTTATACTTCTAGGCTAATAAAGGCTTATCACTTTCTCTAAACCAATTTGAAGAAGCTTCAAGAGTCACGCATCACCTCCCTCCTCTTGCTTACTATCTTCTTCAAACAAAAACTCAACCTTTTGTGACCATAAAGGTCAAGAAACACTTTTCCTACCTATGGCAAGAAAGTTCTGAAAGGAAGAAAAATTAATGTGCTGCCATCTCACATTATAGAGAAATACTACAGAAGTGTTGTTATGATAAGAGACAATTTTTTCACTCTCTTGTCATATTTTGGCTTCTCATAGTGCTCGTTCTTGATTTTTTCTGAGGAATTTTGCCTACCTCAGTTTGACCCTGAATTTTGAGTAGCACAAAGTTTCTCATATCATGATTTGGCAGATAGAGCTCACATTAGTAAAAGAAGTAAACAAGCTCCTATTGGTTACTTCACGTATTTAAATGCATTTCCTCAGCTCCATAAGAACCTGAGGTCCACTATAAGTCATTATGCCTTGGTGCGGATGAATAATGAATGCTGCCAACTCCTACATCTTTGGCCAAGGAAAGAGAAAGAATATACCCTTCTCTTCTCCTCTATCACAAAAGAAGAAAGAAGACTAGACTCAAAGGAACACAGAACGAGGATGATGCCTTAAAAGTGTCACGCCTATTCTTTATTAGCATGAATATTGGGAGATCAGGGAGATCTTAGGATCATACGCACCTAATCAATAATACTAACATGCAGTCGAACGACCCTCCAGTAGCTGCAGAATACATCATAATGGGACATAGAACAATGGTTCAATCTCTACAGATGTTAGTACTTTGGAAAAAACAATATGATATTTATCAAGTCCAACAAGATGCATGCTGAAAGTATCAAGATTCTCATTTCTAGGCTGGAATTATCACAATGGTAAAAAAGGACAGATTGTTAGAAGACGGGCTCCTAACTCTCCAGTGCATATTCACCTACTCCATGTCCTAGAGCCCTTCAAAACCCCCAACTTATCATCACTCAGAAGAACATCTGTAAAAGATTCCATACTGGATAGGATATAAAAGGAAAAGGCAGGAACTGGTATATAAGGACCACAACATGGAGATACTGAAAGCAGTAGAGGAACAGGCACTGTGCCCTGAACTGATGAAGCCCTCAAAGAGTAATTAGCCCACAGTATCAATATGATAGTAGTAGTGTGCCTCCAAGTCACCCATAATCAAACCATTTCCTCTCCTTCTTCCAGTATCTTTTTTGTAATGCAGAATCTTCAACCTGTTTAAGTTTGTACAGTTTTAGCTTCATTTTTCTTATTCAATTGGAGATAACAGAGTAAGGTATCAAACACATTAGTAAAACAGACAAGATAGTCTGTGACAGACATAGATTTATTATACATATCACCCCTCAAGAAATTTTTACTGTCCTAATGATCCTTCATTAGGTCTTTGTCTGGAGATGGCTTAGCCATGAAGTGGTTCTAACCTATCATTAGTTTACTAGCTTCTTAGTGTTTTTCTTTTGGTCAGATGTACCTATATATTAAACTTCATTAATAAACTTGGCCAAGCCAGCTTAAAAAAAAAAAAAAAAAAATCTTACTATAAGCCTTTTTATCTCAATATAGTAATTTAAGAGATATTCACTAGATTTTTATGACTTAAAAGTTAAGCTAAGTAGTTTGATAATTATGAATTTCTTTCTCTTTTGATACTAATTGATTAGTAATTGCAGTTTCAAAAATCAGACTTATATAGTTGTAATTCATAAAGTGTAACAATTGAATTGAGTTAATAATTATGACAAGAGCAATATCTGATTTCAAAGATAATAATAAAAAGGAAAGCATATATAAGAACATATATATTGTCTTGTTTACTTCTGGCTACTGGATACTATTGTTCAGTTCTAACTCCAGCTAATAA